CTATCCCCGCTTCTTTCACTACGCTCTCTATCTGTGCGCGCTGGGAGGAGTCAAGCTCGGGTAGCCCGCTACAGGCGTGTTCGGACGGCTCGGTAGCGTTAAAACGGTACCTATGTGAGGGACTTCGCGAGAAGAACCACTCGGATTTGGCTAGATCTAACCCTATTCCAAACTTGCACAAAAAATCCATCCCTAGGATGCACGAAACTGCCAAATTGGGTAATAATCCCACGAAAAGGGTGTGTTCTATGCCGCCTAACTTGAGTGGTACCTCGCTAACCTCATCTATTTTCGCCACTTGGCCATTCGCCGTCCGGATTTTTCCGCCTCGGTATCGCGATATTGGTAATCTGAGAGATCGCACGAGCTTAATTCCCTCCGTCCCTATCAGCGTTCTACTCGAGCCTGAGTCGACAAGAGCTCTTAACGGTCGTCCTTTTATGTATACTTCGAAATATTGCAACGGGGGAAATTCGGTATCGTCTAAGGTCACGTATGATTCTATACCCCCGGTGCCTGTAATTTCTCGAGTCCGTTCCTTTTGAGCCGATAGGACCCGATCTACCGACTCTCTCCCTCGTTTCCCGCGCAATTTGGACACGTTCGCGTCGTGTGCTGTTTCTTTCCGCACCGATAACAATGCAGATTTCGCGTCTGCGTACATTCTCGCGATCGGTGTCCCTTTTGTCCACAATTCCAACATTTCATGTCGGCTAATCGGCTACTCGCGGTGGATGAGGAGGGTGTCGTGTCCGTACCCGCGTTATTCACGGCGGCTACCGGAGGCCTCTTCGTCTCGGTAGCTTTCCCCCTTTTCTTGGGCGCGGTCGCGGGGACTGCGGCCGCGGCGACCGTTTTCGGGTGTCTAGGTGATCGCGATGCTCCCCTATACGCGAGTTCCGGAAAAATAGACCGCGTTGATGTCGGCTGTCTATCTAGATCGTAACATTCCTCGATCTGCGACGCGAGGGTTTCTAATGACCGAAAATCATAAATTTCGTTACGCCTCACAGCTATACGCAACCTCGGTATCATGTTTCTATGCGCGTAATTTAGCTGTTCGTTTAGCTGCCATGGGGGGTCCAATCGTTCGAACAAGGCCTGCATGCAGGTTATATAATCGGCGACGGGTTCGTCTTCCCCCTGCTTGCGTCGCATTATCTCGTCCCGCAAGGTGAATTGGAAGTTCGGGCATCCAAATCGCGCACGCCACGCGGCCTCGAATTGCCCCCAGGTACGCCAAAGATGTTGATTCAGACGAAACCAATGGGCCGCGGTGCCCGATAAAAAGAACGGCAGACATTTAAATATTTCGTCGTCATCTAAGGGAATTAATTGCCGACCCTGCTCTATACGAATGAGGAAGGCCTCCGCCTCCCCGTCGCGTGCCCCGGAAAAATTTAAATTCCACTTTCGCATTACGTTATACGCGTCCACGGCGAAATTCGGTTTTACGCGAGGGCGATACGGCTCGGGATTTCTCCGCGGCTCCGGGTGCGTCTCTGTTGGCTCTGGGGGATGTATCCTGATTCGCGGTTTCGAGGACCACGCTAGGGCTTCGCCCCCGACAGCACCTTCCTCGGTATCCGACTCCTCGTCTGACGCTTCCGATATTTCAGGGGTCGGCATATGCTCTCGCCCTATTAATTGCGCGGCCTCGTATCTCAATAATCGAGCCCTAAGGGTGGGGAGGATCCCTTTGACGGACAGCTTTCTCTCCGCGAGGGCACACCTCACTTCCTCCTTTGATAACTTTCGAATCCACCGAAATTGTTCTTTTGTCGACATTTCGTTTTATGGTTAGTGACGGTGTGAGGGAAATGAGATCTCGAAGGGGAAGATAGATAGTACGCGGACCGTGACCGGATTGACTAAACGTACGCTCCCTCCCTCAACTGTCTCGCCAACTAACTCTTTCTCGGTATCTTTGTGAGCGTTGTCTAAATTAGACACCGTCAATCCTTGATTACGCCGCTCGGTCACGATACCCCCCCTCCTAGAACCCGAAAATATGTTGCGAACGATATTCTATAAATTCCTAGTTAATAGGAAAGTCACTCACAGGCGTGAATACTCGGCGCGAATATCTCTTGAGGAGATAAAGAAGGGGCGAGAAGAAGAGAGAGAGAAGAAGAGAAAAAAAAAAATTCTATTCTTATTCCTAATTCGATAAACAGAAAGAAACTAACAAGTTCGCGAAAGGCAGCGTATGCGAGGAGGTGGGAGAAAAAAAAAATGTTCCTTTGTATACACGGACGTCCGTTACTGAGTCGAGTCTCGCTAAGGAATTTCGGGAATTCGCGTAAACATCTATTCACCAATATTCGTTCTTAGCTCTCGGTATCTTGACCATAATATCTGAGGACGCGATAATCCTTCAAGAACAATACGTGTTTACCCGCTTTTAGACTCGGCTCGACGAGTGGTAAATATTTCCGCGAAGAGATCGAAAGAAAGAAAGAAGAGAAAAAAAAATTCGTCGCTTTCCAATACTATTCCCCATACTGGGACAGGAATATTTGCCGACTTTGTATCACACGAAAAACTCGGTATCAATCAGGTGCCTATAATTCACTCGATATATCAAAGAAAGTCGTAAAAGGCGTATGAGCGCGCTACCTTTGTAATACTATACTACGCGGTCGGGTTTACGATGCCGCTCGCGACAAAGAAACGTGTCGGTGGTCGCTCTCTGTCATACGCGTAGCGCTCCTTCGTACTCGTGCACTTAACGCGATGGCACCTCAAATTCGAGTCCCCCCCGTTGTGACGGGAAGTCTCGAGATATCGAGACAAGCACAATGGGAACAATCTTAATAACGCGGGAACAATAATAATTGGGGACAAAGTAATACAAATGCATGCAATAAACAAAAGTCATCGACTGTATTAAGTCAAATAATACTCGGAGAATCTCCGACGGAGATCCCCGGCTCGGGCGAGACTCAAGTCAGCGCCCGATAGACAAAGAAAAAGGAAAGAAAACAAAAGAGAAGTATTTCTCTCACCCTACTGTCTCTCCGTTACCCGAAACGACACGTATTCTCCTTTATTAATTATCCTCTCTTTCGAGAGGGCCCCACGTTGGGCGCCAAATTTGCGACCGCCTCTCCGTCCTCTCTCGTCAAACTAAGAGAGAGAGGGCGAGAGAGACTGCTGCGCAACCTCGTCGTGCCGCTCTCCGTTCTCTCGATACTTGCTCGGTATCACTGATTGCTCGGTATCGTATCTTTTTGGGCGCCAGGTGCGGTCAGGCCGCACCACTCAACAATAGCTCAACTAATAATCAGCGGACACGACGGCTCGGCCTCGGTAGCTCGGTATCAACAAGGGGTAGAGTGTCGTGGTTCTTTCCGTAAGGAGATTCGGAATCGCAGTCCCGGAGAGAGAGAGGAAATCTCGATATTGATTGTACTCAGAAATAGGATAAAATAAGAATATATTTTCAGTTAATAGTATATAAATGGTGTGAATCAAAGTAGCTATAATTTTATTATCGAGCCGTTGGGAGATCGCTGGGTGTTATCGAAATCTTTAGTTATCGTTACTCTCCTCCCTTTGTAACCGGCTCGGAATCGAATGGATCATATACCAATCCAGCGTAACTTATTCTCAAATTTCGTTAATTAATGACTCGATACAATGCTACAAATATAATATACTACGATATGACTGTCGACTCGTTTCGGTGCCCCTCGGAGAGGCGAAGAAGGCAAAGATTTACGCAATAACTTAATGACGCGGAAATCGACGTGAGTCCCGTGAGTCTCTCCACTAATTCTCGGTACTAAATGATTTACAGCATAATTGCTCGGTATCGTTAATTTTCTCTAATGACTCACGGATCTCTGCCGAATCCGCGCTTACCGGACGATCGAGGAGGTGGCCTTACAATATTTCGCCGTCGCAGTGGGCTGTAGTGGGTCGTTGTCCCTGGGTGTGCTCGCAGGACACCGGCTTGCCGAACAGTGATTTCCTTTCGGGCCGGCGGGACCTCGGCAGGTACGCTGGTGGGGAGGGGGAAGACAATGCGCGCCACCCCGGCCCGGTTGCCAGGTTTCGCGGCAGCGTTGCGCCCCGCGCCGGACCCGGAATCGATCCTCGTATCGATTCCGGTGTCTCGCGGCTGGTCGCGGACTTCCGCCGCCAAATTCAAATTCCAGCCCTCGGGAGCGATGATGTAGCAGGTCCATTTTCGGCGGTCCCGTCCACACCTCGTATGGCCGTATGCTGATGTTCCAAACGACCTTTCTTGGCTGAGGGAAGTCGTTCCGGGGTGATCAATCCCGTTAGATCTCCGTGTTTCTCTCGAGGCGTGGTGGCGGGCCCCTCAGGGCATCATCCTTGTCGAGGGATGTAGGCGCCTTTTACTCCCTGATCTGGACTGCTCCTGTTCGTCCCATCGAAGCTGTAACGAGTTTCTCTGCAGTATCGCTTCCTTATTTTCTCGGTACCGTGTATAGGTTATCGTTCGTAATACTCACCGGGCCGGTCGCTCAGTCTCTGCTCCTCCCCTTTCGAGGTCGTTCCTCCGTCGCCTGTCCGGGTCCTCTTCTCCCTAAAACAATGGCCGTTCTCCTGGCCTACCACCTCGATCCCGATACAGAGTGCGGGCGAGCTAGCGAAAAGGTCGCTGCTCACCCGCACGAGACACAAAATAATATAGCGCTCTCAGACGCTTCCCGGCCGGGCGCGTCCGCCCTTGTGACGGGCTCAAAAAGACCACGTCACAAGGTGAACAATTAAAAATACTCGGTATTCATTGGACACCTTGCGATGATAATTTCTCCTTTGAAATAAAATTCCGTCCACCATCTACCGACATTTCGAAACGACAAATCCTTTCGACGATAGCGAAAATATTCGATCCCCTCGGATGGGTGTCTCCGATCACGATATCTCTCAAAATTCTACTGCAAAAACTGTGGAAATTTTCCTACGGATGGGATGATATTCTTCCTGCGGAAATAACAACCGAATGGAATGCTTTTTGCGAAAAGATGTTACACTTGACGACTCTGCAAGTTCCTCGTTGGTTAGGCTTCGAGCGTAACATTCAGTGCTTGCATTTACACGGCTTTTGCGACGCTTCATCTAAAGCCTATGCAGCGGTAGTCTATTCAAAAATTGTCACGAATTCTGGCGATAGTCATGTTCGACTTCTCCTATCAAAAACCAAGGTTGCTCCGATTAAAACGATTTCGATTCCACGACTCGAGCTCTGTGCGGCTCAGCTGCTAGCACGCTGTATTTCGTTTACTATTGACGCGATGAAATTGCAAAACATTCCTGTGTTTTGCTGGAGTGACTCGACAATCGTATTAGCATGGTTGCAAAAGGCTCCATCAGATTTAAAAGTATTTGTAGCTAACAGAGTGTCTTCTATTCAAACGAAGCTTTCTACGGCGACATGGCTGCATGTGCCAACAGAAGATAATCCCGCAGATTGCGCATCGCGCGGCATAAATCCAGCTCAGCTAACGCCTTCCAGTTCTTGGTGGAACGGCCCGGCATGGCTGAAATTTAACGAGGATAATTGGCCAGTTCAATCTACGATAAGTTGCACCGAAGATGATTCCGAATTGAAAGCGTCAAATGCAGTCCACTCGCATCATTCAAATCGAGCGGAACTTTTTGAATCCTTCAATCATATCTCCACGTGGCCACGCTTACTACGGGTCACCGCATACGTCCTTCGGTTCAAGTTTCGAACGAAAGTCCCAGATGTTGCTCAAGGTCTCTCTATTTTGCAAGTCGATGAAATAAAAACCGCGCACAGATTCTGGATTAAACAGATGCAAACGGAATACTTTTCAAAAGAAATCGTCGCTTTCAAAGCCAAGTCGAGGTTACCAGTTCGATGCTCCATCCATTCTCTCGATCCGTTCCTGGATCCCTCCGGTATCCTACGCGTGGGTGGTCGACTTCAACTGTCTGACCTTTCATATGATCGTAAATTTCCGATTCTACTTCCAAAACATTACCTTTCTAAGCTCATTATCGATCAAATTCATAAAGATACACTTCACGGCGGTGTACAATTAATGCTTCGCACGTTGCGAGAACAATATTGGATTCTGGGGGCGCGAAGCATGGTAAAAGGTTGTATCCGCAATTGCGTGACATGTACTCGGCATCGCGCCATAACCGGCGTACAATTTATGGCCGACCTTCCTACATTTAGAGTAACTCCGTCCCGTCCATTTTGCCATACGGGACTTGATTACGCCGGCCCCTTCGCAATTCGAGACGCTTCCGGCCGCGGACGTAAGTCGCACAAAACATACATCTCGCTATTTGTTTGTCTCGCTACACGAGCTATACACTTAGAGCTCGTTCATGATTATTCCACGGCTGCGTTTCTCGCATCTTTCGAACGGTTCGTAGCGCGTCGTGGCATTCCATCCGATCTTTATTCCGACAACGCGACTACCTATCAAGGCGCGGATCGCGAACTTGTTACAGCGATCCGACAGACTCAATCCGACGTAGATCTGCAGGCGAAGTTCGCGTCAAAGCCAGTTCAATGGCATTTCATTCCGCCTTCTGCCCCTCATTTTGGGGGCATGTGGGAGGCAGGTGTTAAGAGTGTTAAGCACCACTTGCGACGTATACTTGGTTCCTGCACACCTACGGTCGAAGAGTTCACCACGCTTTTATGTAACATCGAAGCATGTTTAAATTCGCGCCCGATCGCCGCACTTCATGACGATGTAAATTCTTGCAATGCGCTCACACCAGGGCATTTTTTAATTGGTAGCGCCATTAAATCGATTCCGAGTCCGAGCGTCTTACATATCTCCGAGTCACGACTCGATCGATGGCAATTAATGCGTGCGAAATACGAGCAATTTTGGAAATTGTGGAGTCTTGACTACTTGAACACCTTGCAGCAGCGTTTTAAATGGCAGAATCGATCTGATGAATTTCGCATAAACGATATTGTTCTAATAAAAAATCCTAATTTACCTCCTTGCAGATGGGAACTTGCGAGAATCATCGAATGTAAGCCTGACAAGGATGGCCTGGTGCGAGTTGCTCAGGTCAAGACCGCGTCTTCTACTTTTGTAAGACCTATTGTTAAACTCTGTAAATTGCCGGTAAGTCCGGACGGTTCAGCGTAATCTAAATTCTGCAGGTTGTCTCCAATGATTGCAGTTCAATGTGTAAGGATTTACCCCTGACTGTCATTTGAATCCCTTGGCGATTCAACCCGAGGGGTATGTTTGGGAAAAAATTAAATTTCCGTGATCCCCGCGCGCCTTCGATATACGCTACTGAGAGCTCTCTGTAATTGTGTACATCGACAGTTTGTTATTGCGTCCACAAAGGGCGAAGCGCCGAATTAGGAGAGAGTTTCCGCGTCTTTAAAAAGGAGCGATGCGGCACGGAGGGCGAGTCTGGTACGACGAGCCGTCCGGTAAACCCGAGAAGAACATTTGTGATCCGAAGAATAAAAATTACGTATTCTTACTTAGAATAAAGAGACTAGTTCCTGCTATCTATCCTTGCCTATCGACGCAGTCCACAAGAGAGAACTAGGCGATAGCTCCGATAAAACCCAAAGGAGAAAATATACAAAACAGATTTCTTTACAAAAGGTCCCATTGAGTTCTGATTTAATAACATCGCCAAACTGATCCCAATTGACCTTCTTTAAGTTATAGAGTTGTCCTGTGATTACCTGATTTGTTTCTGAATTTTTATTGTTGTTATGTTCAAAGTATATACAATTATGGTCTGAGGAAGTCATTTTCGGGAAGACCTTCCAATCATTAATATCCTTCAGGACTCCACTATTCACCACAGTCAAGTCTATATTGGCCTCTCCTATTATAGTAGAGAACGTTGGTTCGTTTCCAGGCTGATTCAAAATGTATACATTTTTATTTATTAGGAAATCCTCGAGTAATTCGCCTTTCGCGTCGTTCTCTTTGCAGTACCAAGTTTTGGAGTGAGCATTGGAGTCCATTGATATGATCATGTCGTGGCTTTTGAACGTTTCTATTATAGTCTCCAACTTATTAATAAAATAGTTTAGCTCCATGGAAAATTGACAATAAACTGATACCAAATATAAGTTTACTTCATTATGTACTATATGTGCGCAAGCTATATGTTCGTCCGTAAACTGTTCGATTTTTGTGACAGTTATTTCCTGATTATATACAACTATAGCAGCTTTTGTATCTGTCACCTTATTACTTTGAACAACTCTTGCACCAAGTGAAGCGCAGCCTTTGACTTGTCCTTGGAATACGTATGGTTCTTGTATCAGACACACATCAATGCCTTGTTCCTCTACTTTTAATCTTAATTCGTATGATGCCGTCTGCGAACGGCCAACATTTATTTGAAAGAATTTTATCATTATGTATAATCTATTTTATTCTTTACGATTTCAGTTACTCTTAGATACTCCGGGCATCTCTTGTCACTTACAGTATGATGTGTGTCTTTCCTTTTAGCTCTTGTACAATTAGCGCAGACTGCAGATTTCTCTCTCTCTCTGAGCAATTGGTGCTTATATGGCCCGCCCCCCCCCCCCACAGTGTCCACAAGTGGGGGTCTTTTCCTTGCAGTGTTTAACACTGTGGCCTAAGCCTAGACAACGGAAGCACCTAGTCAAGGCTAAGTAATCATTAACCTTGTATGATCTCCAGTCAATATATAGTCGTTCTTGCTCCAAGAGTTTTCTTCTTATCTCTCCTGTCACCTCTATTACCCAGTTATTAGTATTTCTGGTTTTAACAAATGTGTTGTATCTGTATTTAACCCTGCTTTCATTTTCCTGCTTGGCGATTCCAAGTTTTTCAACATTCTTAGACCAAAATTGTTCCATAAACTGCTCCTTTGTGACCGACTTTTCTACGTCATATACTATCATACTGGGTCCAGTTTTCTTAGGCAGCTCTGTTTTCAGCCCGCATTCATTGTCTTCTATTATCTGCTGGATCTTTTTTAATTCGTTTCCACCTTCCGTTTCCACTAGAATGCCTCTGTCTCCCACCTTTCTCATTCTTTTAATCCTTATTTCTTTAATTAACGGATTCATTTTCTTTGTAAGTTTTTCTTTGACATCCTCACACGTTAAATTGTCCTTTTCATTTAAAGGCTTAACAATCATTACCGAAGAATTAGTCTTGAATCCGCTTTTTAGTGTAGTACGTTGGATAATTTCTTTTTTTTCTGTTTCAGATGCTGCTGTTCCGGACCATGGAGTGAACGCCACTTGAACATAGGACATCGAACTGATAGAATTTTTCGATGCCAGGTAAGTACACTTTAATTTTTCTCTCTCAACGATACTCTCTTGTAATTTCCCTTCTAGTAGCACCCACTTAGACAATATGAACTTAATTGTATTCTTATTGATTTTATTGTTTTCATTAAAGAGAAACTCTTCTAGAGCTACTCTTTCAGATCTCACTTCTTCTAGCGTAACTTCCTTGTCGTCCTTTTCAACTTTCGGTGAGCCTTTTTGTTCCAGTTTCTCTCTTTCCACACTATTCGCACTGCTTTTTTGAACAGGTTCAGGAAAAATAAATACATCATTATCATCAGTTTCTCTGGTATTTTTTGAACTGGGGCGTTTTGTCGTTTTTTTTTCAGCCGGAGAGTCGTATGCCTCCTCACCTTGTTCAAGCAAAGCGCTAAAGCAAGGCCTATTTATTCCTCCAGTTATTATTTTCGCCGATGGTGGTGGTGATCTGGGAATAGACTCCCTTCTCTTGAACGGGTCCTGTTCTTTATCTCCGGGTTTGTGTTTCATCGTTAACTTTGGTTTGAGTGTATTTTTAGTTTTTTCATTTTTCTCCATTTTTCATCCCACGAGTATGGTAGGAACAAGTATCAAGTGATTCAGAGCCTCCATGATATCACCAAGCCTAGCTACTCTGGGGGGTCGGCAGGTACCCCAGAGGGAACGTTTGCGACCGCGCTGTTTCACGTCTTCGTGGCCAAGCAGCCATCGGCACGTTGCCTTACACCTTGGCTTAAGACGTTTGGTGCATTCTTAGTCTGTCCTCTCCTTCCAAACTCATCCGGCAAGGTTGAACCTACCAGGGGCATAGCCCCCGCCGGCATGACTTCGAAGGTTTGTTCGCGTCGCATGCCCTAACATGCTCCTTCTCACTCCAATGCGCTCCAATACGTTCGTGTCACCGGAAACAAGATGGCGACTAGATGTTCGCGTCACGTTAGAGCATACTCTAAGGAGCAATTAGGAGCACGCTCTATTTGCCTCACCTTCGAAGGTGGTGCATTTGGGGCTATTTTATCGCGCATGCGTGTGAAGCTTGTACTGTAAACAGTATCCACTGCTCAAGAGTCGGGTAGTCCAATAACCTCGCTTTTATTATTCGGCTACGCCGTCACTGTCTTGATATTTCACAATGGAAACTTCTTTTAAGTATTCAGGTAAGAATTTTATATATGATGCTGATTACTTAAATACTCATAATACTTTTTATATTTTTACTTAATTAACTAATAAAATAAATTCTAAGATAGATTAAATGATTTTATTCTAAGATAATTTAAATTGCATAAATATTGTACTATATTAATAGTTTTATTTTTCAGCTGTGAAACCTAAACTGGTATCATTAAAATTAATTAAGCCTCCCCAGACTTTTGCGTGTACTTCTGTTGTAACTGCTACAACAAACTCGACACAGTTCCTAACCACAACTGCGCCTTTGGATTCTGTACTGAATAAATAAGTTTTTCTACAATTCAACCTCAGACTATAATCCACGAGAGTCCTTCTGTTACAGTTCCTGTAACAAGCTCTATGCAGTACACACCTACAACTTTGTCTTCACTAGACTCTTCAATTGTGAATGCTTTACTAAATAAAGCAGGTCCTTCTGAAATTCAGCCTCAGATTAAAATCCATGAGAGTTCTTCTGTTACGATTCCTGTAACAAGCTTTATGCAGCACACGCCTACAATTGTGTCTTCATTGGACTCTTCAATTATAGACTCAGATAATGAAAAAGAGAATACTTCTGGTGTCAATAATGATGGCTATTTTATTTGGGACTATAAAACCATAATGTTGTTTTTCACAGAGTATGAACAGCATGAAAAAAAATCCAGAAAAGAAAATATCAAAGTAAAGAGGCTATGTTTCAAGCGATAGCAGAATCCTTCCAAGAAAGAGGTTATGTGAATGCTACTAAAAATCACATGAAAAATAAATTTAAATTGTTGAAGAAGAAATGGGATAAACATATCAAACAGACCATGGGAAAAATAGTTCTGGAAAAGGCACTAAACCTCTTCCATTTAAAGAGTATTCTATCTTGTGTTTTCTGTATATAATTATATATATGATATTTTGAATTAAACATTATAATTAATAAGTGATTTGTTCATGTACAATATATTAAGATAAAAATATAATATTTTACATATTTGTTGATATTTTGTAAGTTTGACACAGTTAATAATAAAAATTAAATAGTTAGCTGTTAGTTCGAACATTCTTCTGTTGACAATCATTCATTTTTTTGATTAATCAACAATGTCAAGAATACCAAATCTTATTCAGACTATTCTGCTCAATTAATTATCTCAGAGTAGTTAGTATTAACAAATTTAGTATTTAAGAAAGGAATGTTAAGAAACATTTAAAAAAATTTCTATCTTATTTATTTCTGTTTATTATATTATATGATTTTTTAATTTTATTATAATTAATAGTTCAGTCGATTTGTTTCATATTTTTATTTTGTCATTCTTACAATATTCTGTTTTTATTAAGTAGTTAGTATTATATTTAGTATTTAACAAGTAAGTAATAGAATACATATGTATCTTTACAGTGAAATGATAAACTTATTTGGAAAAGTCACAGTGGAGTGCCATCTTTTGTAGCTGGCCGCAATGGAATGGTTTCTCAAGAAGACATTTTGCAAAAAGTGGTCAGTCAACATTTGTCTCAGTGAGTAATCATCTCCTTAAAATGTTTTTTAATTCATTTCTAGATATATTTTTAGATATAATTTAAAATGTTTTCTATTATAGGAATGTAAATGAAGAACAATCTTCTATTGCACTAGACTCGCCACCTTCGACACCATCTGCAGTTAACAGTCAATCTCAATCAGTAATAGGTAGCAGCAAATCGTCCATGACGGATAGCAGTTGCTCATCTTTAATAAATACAAAAGCAAAAGTACGAGATGGCAAATTGGCGCATACTCTACAATCACTTAAGGAATCCATCTGTGCTGTGCTACAAGAGAAAGTGATGCCAAACAAGAAACACGTACAAAATATCTGACGGAGCTTAAAAAATGTAATGAATTACAAATAGAACAATTACAATTGCAAAAGAACGAAATAGTATCTTACAAAGGCAACTTAAGATACTAGAGAGAATAGAAAGTAAAAAATACTCAACACAAGAATTATCAGACGAAGAAGATTAATAAGATATAATAAGACTGAAGGTTTACTAAATTATATGTATACATAAGACATTCATAAAGTTTGTTCCTTTGCCTACTTAAAGGAGAAAATGTAGTAAAACACATTTATTAATCTTTTCTACATATAAATTCTGCGAAGTTACACATTTTTCCTGACAAGATCTGTCAGATATAGTAATTATAAAAATAGACACATTGTCTTTTAAAAAATGTTAATAAGATATTATTACAAATTTATAAAATTTATGAACAGTTTATTAAGTTTAATTTTAATTTTGTTAAAAGACAAGTGTGTTGGTTTTTACAATAATTATATCTTAATTAGATCTAATAATTAGATCTTTCATCATTGGGAAAAATGTGTAACTCTACAGGATTCAAAGGTAAAAAAAAGCTAATAAATGTACACATTTTCAATCACTTCATTTTTTACTTTATAACCAAAGTTACAAACTTTATGAACATTTCACGTAAATGAAGTTATATGTATTTAAAATTTATATAATTTTGTTAATTTTATTTAAAATTTTTATTTCAAGTTGAAATAACTTTTATTTTATTAAAGTTTATTTTAGTTTTTTATTTATTTATTTTCTGTTATTTTGATAAACAGCGTGACAAAGCTGTATCAAGCTCTGCAAGAGAGGAAAGCTACATTTACTTATTGAGTTCTTTTAGTTGAAAAAGCTGCATTTATTTATTGAGTTTTTTTAATTGGGAAAAGCTGCATTTACTTATCGAGTTTTTTTTTACATAATAAAGCAGCATTATTTACTTGCAGTCAAGCGTACAAAACGTGATTGAAAATCAAAACTGTCATTTCTTGTTCAATTTACATTTTTTTGTTAATTATCGATAAAAAATCATAATAAAATATATATTTGCATTATGCAGTTATATTTCTCTATTTGTATGAAAAATAGGCGTATATGACAATAAAAGACTGATGTATGGATAAATTTTTAACAAAATTGTTTTATTTGTTGTCTTACATATTACATAAGAATTTATTTTATAAAATTTAATATCAAACTTTAATAATTTTTAATTAAAATGAGCTGAATAGAAGATATATAATCGTAATATTCATAATTATTAATAAATGAAATATATTTGTGTAATCGTTATGGTTATAATCGTTATAATCTTGAAACTATAATTGTACATTGTTTCCTAATTTTTATAACTAAAAAAACATAAATATTTGAAAGCACTTTGATAGTTTTGTACATTAAATACATATCATACATATTTTTAATTGAACGACACAGATTGATACAATGCAGTATGTGATATGTCGACGTTGACAACGACACGATATCGATATTTAAAAAAATAATAAACATAATATTTAAATATTAATATTAGAACATAATATTTAAACAAATTTATTTGGATACTCTTATTCAAATCATCGTTGAAACAGTTGTCTACATAATTCGTCTCTGAGATCGCGACCATGTCGATCATCATCCGGATCTTCATTTCTATCTGCTGCTGGGACATTATGTAACAATACCTGCGCATTTATATCAGCATGGTTGTCGACTTCAGGTTCTTCCATGTGTTGCAAATCATCCAAGTCAGCCAAATTGTGAAGAACGCAGCAAGCGAAGATGAATTTGACGATAAATTGCATATTCCTCAACTTGAGGAAATATAACTGTCTGAAACGTTGTTTCAGTATTCCAAATCCATGCTCAACTGAAATTCTGCATTGACTGTGTATACGATTAAAATTTCTTTGGGCCTGTGTCAAATGTCCATTATCCCGATATGGAGTAATTAATTGGAGAAGGCATGGATATGCAGCATCTCCAAGAAGTATGCTTCCATCTAAAATAAAAGCATGTATATTTAAAATTAACAGCTAAGGCTAAGGCTGCTTTTTGATATTCATTCTGCTAGTTGAAAATCTATATTTTATATTATGTACTACAGATTTATAATACTGGCAGTAAATATCAAAACGTAGCCTATGAAAACATTTACAGTGAAGTATATATTTTAATCATAAATCTTACAGATATGGCAATGCATAGTCAACCACATCTACATACATAGAAATATTGAAAAATGTTTCTTTTTTTAATCTCCTCCGGACTTTCGAATACAGAAACTGTTGACGCATGTCATAAATTTGTATAATCAATAGACTCTTATATTAATCGCTCGTATATCAACGGAAAGGTTCGATCGTTCGAACCGACACACGACAACATTATCGACCTTGTTCACCATCCCATGTGATAAGAGTCACGCTGTCACGTGTACATTTTATTTACTCCTATTCTTTCGTCGCTCCGATTCGCCGAAACAAACATCCGATCCCGAGAAAGAGAGGATTCCGTGACGAAAACTCGGAACGCTCCCGAAAACCGAGAATCAGATCTCTGCGAACCGTGCTATCGATCAGCTGCAAATACAAGTAAACATATGTTCGTTGCTGTAATCACTTTCCTCTCGGAGCGAGCCTTCACGAGGCTGTACAAGCCACCAGTCGATCAACAATAATTTGAATTAGAGCGACGCCGTCGCGCCTACTGATATCGACAACATTTTTTGGTCCTTCGAGCCGGATCGCTAACGAGAGAAGACGACAAGTCGTGAAGTACATCATCCAATTACATTTTGGCTGACTTTGATCACGACCTACGTTGTTTAACGCAGCAGCCGCCATTCCAATAATGGCTACCACCGCAAAGCTTTTGGAGCAACAGCTCGACCTTGTTAGATCGGTTGCAAATGCCGTATCTAATTTCAAAAAACTCGGCCACGCCAAGATGACGTCCACCGTGGCTGCAAACCGGATGGAACGCGTCAAGGAACAGTTCCGGGAGATTCGCGTCAACAACGCCAAGCTGTTAGTCCTCGCCGAGGCCGCTACGAAGACCACGCATCGATACTTCACCGAGGAGCTGTATCAACAAGCCGAGGTCCAGATGGATGCTGCCCTTGACTACCTGGCCGAATTTGCCATACCTCCCATTGCCGCCCCGCACATCAACATCATGGACGCTTCGAACGCAAGTACCAATTATCATCATGGTCCGCGCCCGGTCTCGCGTTTACCGCGAATTGAATTACCGAAATTTGACGGCTCTTTCGAGCGATGGGAAACGTTCCGCGATAGATTTAAAGCAATGGTAATTGACGATCCGATTTTAACAAATGTAGAACGCCTGCATTACTTATGTTCAATCGTTACCGGAACGGCCAGCACTTCGCTGAGTCACTTAGCAGTCACCGATGCGAATTTCGAAGTCGCGTGGCAAATCTTATCGTCGCGCTTTGAAAATCAACGTCGAATCGTCAACTCCCATCTTCAAATTTTATTCTCGTTACCGTCGGCAACGCATGAAACCGCGAAAGAGTTGCAGACTCTGCGTGACACCACCAATACCACCGTACAAGCGCTGAAAAATCTAAAACGTCCCGTCGATACGTGGGACGATGTTCTCGTGTTCCTCGTTTCGCAAAAACTCGACAAAGCTTCGAGAAAAGCGTGGGAATTAAAAATGAGCGAATCGCAAAATTTACCGTCCTATTCTCAACTCGACAAATTTTTAGAGTCTCGCATTCGCGCGTTCGAAGTTATCGCCCCGACGAAAAACATCGAGTCAGCCGAGACTACCTCGTCAAAAATTAAATCGGCCAAATCCGTAGCATCACATACAACGGCCGTGAAGTTCGAATGCCCGGTCTGTAAGGGCCATCATCGTTTATTTCAATGTACACAATTTGCCGCTTATACGCCGGAGCGCCGTTTCGAATTTATTAAATCGAACCGCCGTTGTTATAATTGTTTCGCGGCAAACCATGCGTTAAAGGATTGCACCAACAAGCATCGTTGTCGAGAATGTAAGCAAAAGCATCACACTCTCCTTCACCTTGGAAACCACGCAAAGTTACCGTATGCTGAATCGTCACATTCAAAAGAAGAGACGAAAAAAGACCAAGACAAAAACGTTGTCGCTCTTACCCTAACACGTTCAATGCCAGCTATTCCCGCCGTTCTGCTCGCTACAGCGCGCGTCCGCGTACATTCCGCGCACGGTCGCTTCATTCCCGCTCGCGCGCTTATCGATCCAGGATCGGCTGTGACACTCATTACGGAGAATCTTGCGCAATTACTCCGTCTTCCTCGAGTAAAGCAAAATTTAAGCGTTACTGGCGTTGGTCAAACAAAAACTTCCGCACGCTACGCAGCAAATATCAAAATTAGTCCCGTAAAAAGTAACAATCCCGCGTATTCGACGACGGCTTTAATATTGTGTTCGCTCGCGGAATACGTGCCACCTCCCGTTGCGTCTCACACTAAGTGGACGCACCTCGACGCCCTCGAATTAGCCGATCCTGATTTCCTGAGTCCTACGCCAATCGATATAATAATTGGAGCCGATATGTATGGAAATATTCATCGCGACGGTTCACACAAGGGAACACCACACGAACCGTTCGCGCAGAATACCGCGTTCGGCTGGATTCTCTCGGGTCCTACCGTCGAAACCTGCCCCCGCAATTCCGTACCCGCATATCATACTAACATTTCACCTAATCTTGAGCATACCTTAAAACAGTTCTGGGAACTCGAAGATATCCCAGCCCGCGTTCATCCGAGTCCGGAAGACACCCAATGTGAGGAGCATTTTGTGACGACTCACTACCGCACCATGGAAGGACGCTACGTCGTGCGTCTTCCCTTTAGAAATGGCCCGCCTCGCGACCTTGGAGACTCTCGATTCGCCGCGTTGAAGAGTCTCGAACGGCTCGAACGTCGTTTTCGAACCGACCCATCGTTAGCAACGGAATACACCGCATTCCTTACCGAGTACGCAAACCTAGGTCATATGACTAAGATAAATTCTACCGAATTTCCCGCCCAAGCTCCCGCGTACTACATTCCACACCGTGCCGTGATCCGTGAACATAGCAATACAACCCGACTTCGTGTTGTGTTTAACGCGTCGTGCAACACCGCCACCGGCAAATCATTAAATAGCGCTCTTCATGTAGGAGCAAAATTGCAAACCGATCTAGTAGCGGTCGTCCTCCAATGGCGACAACCTCGATTTGCACTATCAGCGGACATCGCCAAAATGTATAGGCAGATTTTAGTACACCCTCTCGATACGAAGTATCAATGCCTCTTATGGCGATCGTCTCCGACGGCTCAGGTCGACGAATACCGACTTCTTACCGTCACTTACGGCACCGCCGCTGCCCCATTCTTGGCCTTGCGAGTCTTACGGCAATTAGCCGAGGACGAAGGCTCACAGTTTCCGCTCGCGGTACCGGTTCTATTACAGCAAACGTACGTCGACGACTGTACTTTCGGCGCCGACGACCTTGAAACTGCCAAACAAACACGAGATCAGTTAATTTCGTTGCTATCTCAAGGCTGTTTTCGTTTGCGTAAGTGGGCGAGCAATTGCCCTACGCTCCTTGAAGATCTCGATCCTTCCGACCATGGACTCGCAACCAACAAAGATTTGCACGATCACGATTCCATTAAAATTCTCGAAGTTACCTGGAAACCGGAACACGATATCTTCACCTTTCAAGTTTCGAATTTAATAACAGTCGCGAAAACTAAGCGCGGAATATTATCAGTCATCGCGCAACTCTTCGACCCACTCGGGTGGGTAGCTCCCGTTATCGTAACCGCGAAAATTTTCCTGCAGCATCTCTGGTTGACGAAGTCTGATTGGGATGACGAGCTTCCCGCCGAGATGTTGCGCGAATGGGAAACATTTCAATTGACGTTGCCTCTCCTTGAGCAGTTAACTATTTCGCGCTGGACGCAGTATCATCCGAACAACAGAATTGAATTACACGGATTCGCAGACGCCTCCACGCGAGCGTATGCGGCAGCGCTTTACCTCCGTGTCATTTCGGGCGACGGTTGCATTACCAATACTCTGATCATCGCTAAGTCTAAAGTCGCGCCGCTCAAAACCATTAGCGTCCCGCGTTTGGAGCTTTGCGCTGCGCTCCTACTAGCACAACTCATAGATTTCGCTCGTTCTGCTCTTCACCTTCCCGATATCGATTATTGGTGTTGGAGCGATTCCATGGTCGTCCTCGCTTGGATACGTCAAAGTCCCTCGCGGTGGAAGACGTTTGTCGCGAATAGAGTCTCAAAAATGCAACAGCTTCTTCCCAATGGAAAATGGAATCACGTGCCCACGCACGACAACCCCGCAGATTGCGCATCTCGCGGTACCGACCCTGCCTCTCTTATTAATCACCAACTTTGGTGGCACGGCCCACCATGGTTATCACATTCGTCCGATCAATGGCCAGTCATATCCGACATCCCGGCAACGCATAGTGAATTACGCGATTCAAAAGCTTGCGCGACATGCTCGGTAAACCATTGGGAGCTTGAATCCCGATTTTCCTCGTGGCCGAAATTACTGCGCGTCACCGCGTATATCCTTCGTTTCGTTCGCAACGCTCGTACCCAGACGAAAACACAATGCGATGCCTCTCACTCGCACCCGCATGCTCTCCGGTCCGATGAGCTGGTCGCCGCTCATAATTTTTGGATTCGACGGATTCAACTCAATCTATTTGCTGACGACATAGCTCGCCTAAAACAACTACGTTGCGTCTCAAAAACTAGTCCATTAGCTTCGCTTTCTCCTTACATAGACAGAGACAGCTTGTTACGCGTTCGAGGCCGATTAAAGCACGCAAGCCTGTCAGATGACGCTAAACATCCGCTAATTTTAAAATCACATCCATTGGTCCACCTCCTTATCAAACAGATTCATGTTGCGGCCCTACACGCCGGTCCGCAACCATCCATCTTCAGTTGTTCCATTTTCAGTTGTTTGGGACAGTTTTAGTTATAGATATACGGCGTTTGGGGCAGCCTTCTAGTGATGCAAGTATCAAATAAGATTTTTCTAATTAGACGCCTAGAGCAGGCGAAAGGTCTGAGATATTGCAGACTAAAATGCTACAAAAGCGAATACTGTTAATTTGGATGTGTAATAGACCCAAAACAAAAATACTTTTTCTAATTGTATAGGCGCCACGGGCAAGCCAAAAATCTGCGCTATTACAGACGAAAACGCTATAATAGCGAATAATTTTAGTTTGGATACGTAATAGGCCGAACAAAATTAATTTTTGTAATTGGATGCAGGCGTCTAGGGCAAGCCAAAATTCAGCGCTATTAGCAGCCGATGTTCTAATTCAGCGCTTATGGCAGCTTTTATACAGCGCCTGAGCAGCCGATTAATTTTTTTTTATTTTTCCGGATCTGTAAAATAAAAAAGTTATATAAATACATTATAAATTATTTTAATAAACATATGCAAAGATTCAAAATTATTACACTAATTAAACAATACTTCAGAAACTGCAGTTAAAAAGAAATGAAATTACATCTGTTCATTTTTCTTTTGTATAGTACTTGTAATTCACGTAATCACATTGACACGTCAAAATAGTATTTATTTATTATTATTGTAAATAAATCATCATTGCAGTAGACCTAAAATTTCTTAAAATTAAAAATCATAATCGAAAATTTGAAGTAAATCTAATTTTTTTTATAAATAGAAATATTCTATTTTTTTTTAATTTATCGATTCTTCACTATATATTTGATTCAATAATCTTACCTCAAGATTTTTATGCACAAAATGATGAATACCAATCGAAGTTAAATGCCTATCTTTGTTTTCCCTTTAAACTAAACAACTTTTGTCTGAAATTTTCCTATATACTTTCGAGATATTTAATAAGTACAAAATTTACTTATGAAATAGGTATTTCTGTACAAACAAGATTTATAAATACAGGATTTACTTACAGATTAAACAAGAATTTTTAAGAGGCATTGATGATTTATTGATAATAAAACTTCCTACGACATTTAAATAAACTTGTTAAATATGCAAGACGAAAAAATGTTTCAAACAAACACCATAGGATTTGAAGAAAGACAGATGATGCTGATATTCATTTGACCTTGCAGAGATCTTGAAAATTCCTGTTAACGTTAACCCACTAAA